CTATATATGTAATGTCGGGTTAATTTGATTTCGGTTTGACTTTGTTTAGTTAAAACCAAACCAAACCAAACCAATTATGGTCGGGTTTTTTTTTCCAACACCAAACCAAATTAAACCAAACCATAGTCGAGCTTTTTTTCTCGATTTGATTCGGATTATCGGTTTGGTGCGGTTTGTCGGTTTCCTTTGTACACCCCGACCTATAGGTCACATGGAGATAATTTTACCGTTGCTCCAAGGCTCCCTCCAAATTAGAAATTGAAACTAAAGACACAAATTGAACCATGAACAAAGAAATGAAAGTTGTAGTCATAATTTTGCCACTATACAAGCATAAGCTACTGCATTACAAACAAGGAAAGAGAAATCAACAAGAAGACTCTTTTCTCTTTCAACCAAAGAACTTAGGATCATATCCATTACTAGAAGTGGCAAGAATATAATAAGCAACAATATGACCAATAGAGCCCCAAGCAAGAACATCAACAATGTTGAAACCAACAGGGTCATTAGATTTTAGCAAACTAACATATTCTTTGGCTCTAGAATCACCAGCTTCAAAATGGCTCACTCCATTTTGCTCAGGCAACCCTTGTTTGGCCACATTCTCTCTCTGAAAATTGAAGAAAACAAATCTTCCCAAGAATAGTGATAGTCCTGTGCTCAAGCTAATAACAAGTGATGTGTTGAGCTCAGCTTTAACACCAAGATTGCATCTTTTCTTCATGGGTTTGTAGGAATTGGCCTTATTGTTGAGAATAACACAAGAATCAGTTGGTTTGTTAAGAGGTCTTAGACCTTGAAATGTTGGTGCAGAGAACAAAGCAGAAGCCATGATTACAGCAGAAGTTTTTGGGATAAGGGAGATACAGGAATTGATCTTTAATTGGATATATCAGTGGAAATTGGAAAAGTTGGAAGATGAGGTTTATACTCTAGGAAAGGCTTTGGGAGAAAGGAAATAGATTTTGTCAGGATAAGAATGAGGCAAAGAAAGATTTTGGATGGTGAGGTGGCTTTGCTTCATTGGTTCTTCTTGGATCACAGATTCTTGCCCCAAACATTTTCCAAGAATTTGAGTCTGAAATTGTCCCGTTTAGTTTAGACTTCTCAATATTACTGCATTCATGGCTAAGTTGGTAAGAGTAATAAGGGATAATAAATTTTCGAATTAAATTTGAGATAAATTTATTTTATATTTGGTTGAAATAAAATTGTGATATAATTAATTTCGAAATTAGTTATTCCGAAATTGTAGTATTTTTTTATTCTTATGGGAGGATAGAATAACTAATCTCAAAATAATTAATTATGGGATAACTTGTTTCACAATCAAACGACCTCTTAGTCTTACAAGTACTTATTACTATATTTCAGTGTTTTGTATACTTTTCATCTTCGGGTGTGTTTGGTACGAAGGTGTTTTTCAATTTTCTCATGTTTGGTTGGTTTAAATATTTTGGAAATTTATTTTCCTCCAATTAGAGGAAAATATTGTCCTTATCAAAAGAAGGGAAAACATTTTGCAAAATTCTCTTTCAATGTTCCCTACTCTATTTCTCATCCCCACCAACCCACACCCCACCAATCCCACCTCTATTCTCGAAGAAAATAGAGTGCTAAAAATGTTGGGTATCTGGAGTTGGGGGGGG